GTTGCTCAGAGCCCCATCCAGCCTGGCCTTGGACACTGCCAGGGATCCAGGGGCAGCCACAGCTGCTCTGGCCAACCTGTGCCAGGGCCTCACCATGGTCACAGGGAAGAATTTCTTCCTGATATCCAATCTAAACCTGCTCTCTGTCAGTGGAAAGCCATTGCCCCCCGTCCTGTCACTCCAGGCCCTTGTCAAGAGTCTCTCTCCATCTTTCCTGTGGGCTCCCTTCAGGCACTGCAAGGCCACAATGAGGTCACCCCAAAGCCTTCTCTTCTCCAGGCTGAACAATCCCAATTCCCTCAGCCTTTCCTCCCAGCAGAGCTGCTCCATCCCTCTGATCCCCTTGGTGTCCCTGCTCTGGCCTGGCTCCAGCAGCTCGCTGTCCTTGCTGTGCTGGGCCCAGGGCTGGATGCAGCCCTGCAGGGGGGCTCAGCAGAGAGGGGCAGAGGGGCAGAATCCCCCTCGCCCTGCTGCCCACACTGGGGGCTCAGCCCAGCACAGGGGGCTTCTAGATCCCAGCACTGGCACTGGCACTGCCCCTTGCTCTGAACGTGCTCTCAGCTGAAGCCGCACAGTTCATGGACCTGAGCTTTGTGTACCTGCAGCTGAGCTTATCCTGTACGTGCCAATTACCAGAAAGCCTCCTTTTTCCTTTTTTTTTTCCTTTCCCTTCATGGTACTGAATCCTTCAGATGACTTCTGCAGCCATTTGTGTTGGTAAGAGTTAGCTCCAGCTGGAGGGACGCTTTCTGTCAATGCACAGGACTAATGTGTCTTGTGTCAAGACCCTGAAGAAGATGCCAACCCCTCTTAGACTCTCAGCAAAGCATGGGCTGCTCTGGTGACCCTTTTGAGATATTTCTCTATTTGACCCCCTTTGAGTTGCTATCCAGAGTTTCAACCAGAGCTTAATGAATCATGAAGCTGTTACAGGGGCTGTTGCAGGAGATGGGTAGATGGGATTTTTCCTGATACATCTTCCCCTAGCTTTGAAGTTGGTCCAGCATTCATTTAAGAGGTTGGATTCAAGCCTTCCAACAGTCCTTTCCCTTCTAAATGTCTCCATAGAAACAGAGATACCATTAAGTTTCAAATTACCTGTGAAGAAGCAGAAAATAAGGTAAACTTTGTAAAATGTTTCCTATTCTTCATAGGGCTGTAAGGCTTATCCACCGTCTCTTGTCCCCAAAATTCCTAGGAGATTTATCATCTCCCAAGTTGAGAGCACAGGGTTGGAAGGGAGCATGGGAAGTGCCCATGCCTCCCAGGACACCTGGGCACTTCCCAGGCAAGAAATCTGAATTACACAAAGTTCTACAAATATTTTAAGTGTACCAATGCATACTCTGGTTCTAGAGGTGAATAAAAACTACATTGAGAGGAAGAGTTAAAACAGCATTTCTGAATCAAGGAAAAAAACAAATGTTAAGAGGGATTTAGAGTCAAAACACTACCAAAAATGTATAAAATTTTATTTTATGAATACATTAAACTATTGTGCGCAGCACATACATATAAAAATAGAAGCAATTTCACAAACAATTGATTGGACAGTTTTATGTTTCTTGCAAATTTACAGTCTCAATTGTGAGTCCATATTGAGTCAGAACATGAGGTATATTTTAGTGAAAAAAAAGCAATCTGAGAACTTTGGCACCATTTTACTGTGCAAAATAAAATCTTGGAATTGAAATAGTGAGGTATACAAATTACTCTGCTTTTCCACTGTGTGTATATCTGTGTCTCTGCATGTCTGGGAAAAATACATTTATTTAAGAACATGATTCAGTTCCAGCCAAATCTGCTTTCTAACAGTGTGAATGAAGTCTTAGAATGTTATGGGGTTTGCCTGAGGAAGGAGAAACTGTAAATATAGGCATTAACTCCACAGGAGAATCCCATGTGCAAAATGCGGGCATGCCAGGCTGGTGTGGAGCAGTCACAGCAATGCTTTCAAAGCTCAGCCCATGGCATGACCCCTGTTAATGCACACTTGAGATATGCTTTGAAGTTCCTAATTTGGCCCTGATTTGGGAAATTCCTTTAGTTTCATGAGTTTTCTTTATATAGTCACATACCCTTCTTTGATTTCAGCTGTGATTTCCATGTTGAATTGGGGTGTAATGAGGATAAAAACAGTGATGTAAAGAGTAACTCAGCAGAGTGACTGATGGGGCTCTCCAAATGCCCACCAAAACTGCGTCCAAAAGGGTCTGCAGTTCCTAAGAGCAGTCTCAGGCTCTGAATAACAGATTTATAGATACACAGAATGACTGAGGTTGAAAAACACCTCCAAGATCATCAAGTCCAACCTTTGACAAATCCCCACCTTGTCAACCAGACCAGAGCCACATCCAGTCATATCCTGGACACTTCCAGGGATGGTGACTCCACCACCTCTCTGGGCAGCCTGTTCAAATGCCTGACCACCCCTTCAGTGAAGAAATTATTCCTGATGTCCAACCTGAACCTCCCCTGGCACAGCTTGAGGCTGTTTCTCTCTTGTCCGGACTCCTTGTGACCTGGTCTACAGGTTGTCCTCGCTTGACCAGTGTGTGCAAAATGGAGCCAGTGAGTCTGATTCCCACCTTTTGTGCCAGCTCTCCCAATGCTTACCAGTCCTGGCAGCAATCATTTTCTCTAGGCTGCCCTGGTTCAAGAGGGAACAGACTTCATCCTGTCATAAGGATGCTGGATTAAGCTGTGATCAGAAACAAATTTGTGCGCCAGCATTTGAACTCTGTTTCCTTCTACATCCCTGGACTCTTCCATACTTCTTCAAACTTCATTTCAAAGACAATTAGGAATATAACCCCAGGATACAGGTTGCCAGCTAATGTTGCACAGCTCTCTGTACCTCTAGGGACTCTGATATCCTCCAAACTTCTCTTTGACCCACTCTCTCCCCACTCCAAACATCCTGATTTTTCACTTCAAATGCACATTTCTCCGAAGCGAACTGCTGCACACGTTGTGGGTGAACAAAGTGTGTCATCTTGGCTTCTTTCTGAAATACTGCAAGACCAGAAAATAAAGAGCAATTCCTTTCAACTCCTTTCCTTCCAAAGCATCCTCCAAAGTATCCCATTCCTGTACTGTGAGCAGGATTCCACTCTTTTTTTCTCTTCATTTACATTGTGATCATCACTTACATTTGAATCAGATAAATCCAAGTATAAGTCACATTAGAGATGCTGGAAAACTGTATCTTGTTCACAAAACAATTGCATTGACAGTTTCTTGGGAATGGTGGCGGTGGGTACATCCTTGTGGGTATGTCCTTTGGGCCAAATCTTCTGTAGCTATAAACTGATAGTTTTCCTGGGCTGATTTACTCTAGCTGAGGATCTGGCCCTGACAGTGTCTCTCATGCATGTCAGAAGGCTCAAATTCATCACGAATAGACAGCCCCTGCAAATAGAATGGCATGTCAAGGCTGGACATAGCCCCCTTTTGGCTGGACGTGGGAGATAATCTTGCACTCAGATATTCACTTCTGCAGCAGCATGGTCCATCTATGCTGAAAATGCTCATGCTCTGACATTACATTGAATCTAGTTTCAAATTTAGGAGCATGCCACCAATGCAGGAATCCCAAGGCTTCTGGTAACTGACATTTATAGCGACTATTGACTTAGGGCCTCTTAAAATACTCTTTCAAAGGCACAGAGAATGCAGCTTCATTGGTGATCTGGAAAAGGGTTGTCAAAATAGCAAAGCAAGGTTATGTGTCATTTGTACATCTTCTAGGAGAGCTTTGAAGAGTGCTTCATACAGCTTGCTGTGTTGTCTTTGAAACAGATGCTTAGCAAGTGACAGAAATTGGAATTATGGCACGAGTTCCTCTGTCCCAACATGGGAAGGTATGCTTATGTAGCCTCATTTCTCTGTCCTTCATACCTTAGGGAGGTATGATAGAGAAGAACCAAATATACTTAAGACAGTGAAAATTCAACAGAGTTTTCTAAAATAACCCTTTGCTGGAAGCTTCCATGAATTTCTTATATTTTATAAAATGAATCCCACACACCAGTTCTAGTTCTTAGAGATCAACAACATCCAGGCTAAATGAGATTCAGTGCCTTTAAATATTTCTTTTCTTTTATATAGAGGCACATGGGCATCAGGAGACTGGCATGACTGATTCATTAAAAGTATGTACTTACATAGATGCACACTCATCCATCCCATGTCTATATTTATACAAATATTAATATTAAAGATGTACACATCTATACTGGAGGTAAGTCTAAACTAAGCTCACAAAATGCCATTCAGAATCCTCAGCTCCAAATCAGTTTTGCATTTGGGAGTCATGTATGATTTATCCTGTGGCCCTTCCCATGGGAAAATGATTGTAGGTCTTCATTTTGCCAACCAGTCCATGTGAGGATACCCTGGGGAATCCCTTCAGAGGCAGAGGGGCTCTGGGAACAGACGGTTTTCTTGTGTAGAAACACTTATGGAATTGGCACCTTAGTGATCAAAACAGGTTGAGGACTTTAGAGGACAGGACACAGTCTGTAGAGGGGGGTGCAGGCAGATATTCAGATGGAGTGAACTGCCTGAAGCTCTGGTGAAGCAAAATCATCTGGTGATTTGGCCCATGATATGTAAACAGTTCAGTACAAGAGGTTATTATCTGAGGTAAATAATATCTAGTAAATCACCTATGATTGATTAGATGGTTGTCCACAGCCATTCTGCATCTTCCAAAAACTTCCTTTGCACTCCAGCTTGCATTTTTCTCTGTACAGCACCAAAGGAGGCACACAGCCATGTAAAATTTGTACAGAGTAGGAGAGAAGCAGCATTGTATTACATATGCTATGTGATGAATCTAGTACAAATATTTTTATCCAAATATACACATACATATAGAGATATCTTTTTTTTTTTTTTTTGCAATGACCAGTATAAATACTTTACCTGGGAGGTTATTCCCCATGTGCAAAATGAAACAGTTTGTCCTGATATTTAATCTTCTGTTTTGCTGGTGCTCATATTCTTGGTAAGAAGTGGGTCACTGTCATGGCAGGAGAAACCTTGTTCCCTCTCTTCACCCTGCCGTGTTTGCTCAGGGCTATGTAGGCGCCGCGGTGAACCTTGGATTCATATGCGTTGTAGTTGTTGGGCAGCAAGGTTTCCTTGAACTTGCACTCATCTTGGAAAACAGCCTAAGGAACAGCAAGGGGAGGGGGTAGGGATTCAAATCAGGTACAATCAATTTTCCACCAAGGCCCAGGTCATTTTTCTCCCTTGCGTTTTTACACCAGGGCTCATTGCAGCGTGCGACAGGTGGTGCCGCAGCCACTGCGGCCAACAATAAATCTCCCTCCTCGGTGCTAATTTGGTGTCAGATGAACTCAGATGCCACCTGTCCAGATAATGGACTGTGTATTTCCTGTGGCAGATCGAGTTAATTCATTATAAATCATGGATTTCTTCATTTTATTTGCAAGTAATAATTTCTGTCAGCATTGCACCCTCTCGCCCAAACAACAGCTTTATTTAAGACCTCCCCTCTGCCAGAAGTTCCGTCATTTATAAAAAATTATATGCTGGCTGTTGAAACCTTCAGAGCTTTTCCAAACAGCAGTGTCCAGGGACAACTGCTAGCTTTAATAAGAGATTTGATTAGCAATAAATAATTTCTTTCTTAAACCACTAGTAATATTTAACTATGCAGCTGGTTCTAATCTGGGAAAACAGTTTTAATATCCTCCATGTCAAAACATGAAAATCTAAGGAGGGGGAGTTATCTGGGAGAGGAGGTGCAAGAGGACAAGCAGGAGATAAATGCAGAGGAAATTAAAAGAGAAAGCAGAATAATTCTGTGACTTCAAATGTGTGGCACATGAGATGCCACCAATGCAGCTCTATTTGGGCATCTGTGTGATAATATCATCCAAAGCCTGTAAGAGTTTGACTTAAGGCATTGTGCTGTGCAGGGAAAATGCACATCTCTTAAAGTTTTTGAAAGTGTATTTGAAAATAAACAAAACTGTATTGAAGGTGGAGGGGAAAAAATCAAAGGGATTTCTGAAGCCGGACCCTGTGCTTTTTTAGAAAGACCCAGCTAAGTAAAGCAGTTGGACTTGTGGCACTTTTTGGGTGCTTGTGATCACTTGTGATTGAAGGAATATTCCTGAAGTGGGACCTTAAGGTGTCCTACTGTCATTATGAGTGTGAGAAGGAATCAGGTTAGTGATGGTCGCAGGTCCCTCACAGCATTTGGCATTATTTTAAACCACTGCAATGCTTTGTTGAAATTACAGCTCTTCCAAAGGAAAGGACTCTGCTGTTCCTTGACAAAAGAGATCACTACAACCAATGTCATTCATTACTTTGAGATGAGCTGATTTTGCCTAGTGCCCAGGGCCAGCCTCTTTCAAATGCACCTCCTAACAATCACTTTTTCTGCTGGATAATGACACTGGAGATGTGTTGCTCACATCTCAGAGGTTAAACTGCATTTAGATAGCAAATCATCTAGATGAGGAGGATGGTGTTTTAGTATTATTTGGATACCATTGTTAATAGTTATTATTATTTTCTCACCCTTTGCAACTGATCTCACAAAACTGATCATTAAAATAACCCCAGCCACACATGTTGACCTTGTAGGGTAGACTTCCTATTTATTCTTGATGGTGTGGCTGTTTTTGGTAGGAAGGAGCATGTGGTCATTACTTTACTAAGGGTAGCTGTTGGAAATAGCTATAATTGTGCCTCTCCTACACACAGTGCAATGCAGGATGGAATCAATGGGGCTCAGCTTTGCTACAATGTGTTTGCAGCCCTGTGACCTTAGAAGAAGCCATCTAATTAATCTGTACTATTTGCAGAATATGTTCATTTTCCTAAGGTGTCCTCTGTACAGTCTTAAAGCTTTAAAATCCCAGCCCTGTAACAGCCGTGCTGCTTGTTGCATTAAATAGCACTGATGACAGCAGGCTGGGCAGGCTCCCTCTAACAGGAGGGCTATTTTCTCTGCTTGTAATCAGAGATTTCCATAAGGAAAAGATTGAAACAAACAAAACCAAAACAAACTAAACCCAAACAAACAAAGCAAAACACTAAACCAAACCAAACAACTTCAAAACCTTTTTGTATAAACTGTGAAAAGCTACTTGCACTTGTACTTACCGTCCCATACAACCTGCCTTTGCTGTTCATTGCAATGAAGAGAGCACTTTTCACACCAAGCAGACTTACAACACCTCTTTCTACAGTGGATATTTCAAAGAGACCTGAAAAACATGAAGTTTAATCGGAGTGTTATCACAGAATCTAGAGCTAATGGAAGGCAATTCAGATATATATATTTTTTAAACCCTAACAAACTTGTAATATATTCTTTATAAGAATTAACTCCCTAATGCAGCAAAATAAATATACACAGAGAAGCTCTTATGTTTTTCTAAATGTCACAGGATTTGAAAATAATTATTCTAGAATTGTAGTCACATTCTGTATAAGCCTTTTGCTCTATCAAACTCTTTTGATCTGTCAACCTCTGGACCTTTTCAATAAGAAAATAATTTTAATGTAATATGCTATACTTACAAAAGGTTTTTTGCTGAGTCTTAAAGAAGTGTGGCTTGCATTTTGAAGTCCCACAGGACATTGCTGCAAAAGATTTCAGCAACTGCCCTCTACAGGAAATTCAAATCCACATGACTAATGCTTTCCTTAATTCTTAGGGTAACAGAACAGCACTCACAAGAATGAACGAACCAGGACCAGCAAACTCCTTCCATGGGACACACTGAGTGTCCCAAAAATACTGGTCGGCTGGGATACAAGAATCATGCTTTGCCACTCTGGACTCAGCAAAAACCTCCCAGATCCAAAAGGCAAATGAGAAGGTGAGGAGCAAGAAAATGCAGCAGAGGGTCAGTTTTTGACCTGGTTTGTCTTTTCTCATCTGTGCAGCAAAGCAGGTAAAAATAAATTCTGTCTAAATTCGTCTAAGCATTTTGTGCCACGTTTCAGCCCAAAGGGTTTTCATATTTATTGATCCCAGGGACTTTAAAAGGCAACAGATGTAGCACAGATTAATAATATCAAGTCACAACATTTGCACTCTGTGAAGGGTAATTACTAGAGTTCACAGCAATTAAGTGACATCTATTCTATTTCATTTCTGGATGCAACTCACTGTATTGGTTTTCATTGTGAACTCCGCTTATCCTTCCGTCTGGGAGGATTTGAAGGTGAAACCCGATGCCCACGTTGCAGTAAAGCCTCCGCTGCCTCTTGATTCCTAGCAAATAGTCACTCTCCCAGTTCACATCTGCCTTCTCCCCTGACATCCCAGCCATGGACCTGGACAGCAGAGATTGCCATCCTCTCTCCAGCAATGTGCCATTAGTTCTGCTTACAGCTGGGTGTGTGGCGGCAATCCCGGCCAGCAGGCCCAGGAGAAGGAAGGCAGGCAGCGTCCAGTGAGCGCCGGCGTCGCAGGACATAGTGATGAGAGGTCTTTGTGCCGTGGCCATCCCGTTCACCTCCTGGGCACGTGGTCAGAATTAATGGCCCTAAAAATACCGCCCTTCTTGTTTTTCTCCCTTCAGCATGGTGGCAGAGGCTTATTTTTGGAAAGCAAATAGAGCTTGCTGACCTGAAACTAAAGCCCGATAGCAGTTGGGTTGGGAGCAGAGACAGGCCAGCAGGACTGCAACTGGTGGGGATCATGGTTTGTAGATCCTGCTTCCCGCTGGGCAGCCTCCGTTATATTTGATTGAGCCATCTTTATAGTGCAGGGGCTGTCCCTGCCCACATCATCACTCTGACATCAACAGCCTGCCCAAGGTGAGGCTGCCAGGGCTGTAACACAAACCTGCGTCCTCCCTGCCTGCTGAGCTTGGAGTGCTGTCAGCCAAGACTGGAGGCAGGAGTGGGATTTCATTGGCTGTGGGAAGCAAAGGAGTCAAACTGGTCAGGGAATCAGAGGCCTCACAGGCAGCTTCCTTATTTAGAGAGGAAGGTGTAAAAACAGTTCTGGACCTCATCAGTGAGCAATGAGAGGTTTGCAGCCACTTCCTTGGTGGCACGATCGGCGGGTGCTTGTCAGGGCACCTCGATACTCTGGGACAATTGGCTTGAGGTGGCCACAGCTCTTTTTGTGCACACCCTGCAAAGCCAAGGCGCCTCTTACTGAGCTACCCACATGCTAACCTCTGTCTGTGTCTCTGCAGGGAGTGCTCCTGGCTGGCTAAAGGAGAGGTAAGCTGTGCAGCAGGGACAGAAGCCCCAGCTCCTGCTCGTTTTATCCCAGTGGGAATTTTGCTGAGCAGGGCACACAGGCTGGAACACTGATCTTACAGTGACACATAGGTGGGAACATTAGGTCTTCCTGTTTTTCACTGAGGTGACTTCGAGATGATCACATTTACTTCCAGGTGATCACATTTATCTGGGGAGGGTATGTTCTGCCTGCAGGGGAGCAATAGTATTTGTAGGAGCAAGACAAGGATTTAAGTGATGTGTTAAAGATGAGGAAAAAGTGAGATGGCCATAGTTTACCAGTGTTTCACTGTCTCCTTTCCTCAAGCTCAAATACTCACTATTTTTATAACTAATGACCATCTTAATTTGCCTCCCCTGCTCAGACTGTCCTAATTGTTTCCCCTCATTTTCCACTGAAGCTGTTGCAGCTCCTCTGAAGTTGGACAGATTAGACTTTTATCTCAATTAGTTTCACAGAAGTTATCAAGACATGAGACAGAGGAAAATGGCTGAGATTTATACAAATACTTTTGTCAATATGTCTGTCAGCTTCTCATAGCACAGGCCTTGCACCTTCTGTGTCATTTGAGAAGCCTGCTAATGAGGGGAGTACCTGGAAGCATAATTAAACTGAGCACACCAGTGTGACAGTTTCACATGAAGCAGCAGAGGTGCAATACAAGGCCTGGGGCACTGCAGACTCCCCAGCAGGAGCCCTGTGAGGTGAAGGGGAGCCCCTGGCAGCCTTGAGGCAGGAGATCAGTCATTGTCAGTGATGTATATGAATATTGACTGCTCTCAGGAGACAGGCTCAGCTATAAAATAATTGGGAACCGCAGGGCTAGGCCCTGGCTTGCTCCAGGTGACATTTCAAAGTCTCTGTGTCTTTGCTGAAGCTGAACTTGACTATCACAGAATCACAGAATAGAATGAGCTAGAATGGACCCACTAGGATCATGCAAGTCCAACACCTGGCTCTGCACAGGACACCCCAGCAATCCCACCCTGTGCCTGAGAACCTTGTCCAAACACCCCCTGAACTCTGGCAGGCTTGGGGTGGTGGCCAAAGGAAGGATATCTTTTGCTGACAAAGAATATCTTCAGATCTTTTTCTCTCCTGCTTTCTACTTTATCTGATGATTTTTTCATCTCTATAAAGTGCATATATCATTTTTAGGAAGGAATAATACTAGTATTTTACACCCTCTTATCATATCTGCAGTCTTCATGAGAGGCCAGCATCACTGGGAAACAAAGCCCAGGGTCCCTGTTCCAAGCATGGGACACTGATTTTCCAGTTTTTCTTATGCTGCAGTCTGAAACCTGCCCATTCCCAATGTCTGTGACCCCTGCCAACACTGCCTGGTCTCAGAGCCATCACTGTCTGTAAAAACATGCATTGTAATATTTTCTTTCCTGTTTATTTCCCTCCCTAGAGAACTTTTCAAGTGTAATGGGTGCAGAGCTGGATTTCCATCCTCAGCTTTAATCACCTTTGCATCTTTGTCTCATTCATCAGAGCAAAGATAAACGATGGGCTAATTGAGCTCCTCTAACTTTTGCTGGCACATCTGCCCCTGTGGATTCTCCATAAGGTATCCTGATGGCCCAAGTTAAAGGAACACTTTGTAGGATGCACCATGTCCCATCCCAGTACCCTTGATCCTAGAAGTAAAACCAAATGGTCAGACACAAAACAAGCAAAGATAATTTCTGACATGTCTATGGGATGCATTGTTTTGTGTTTTAGTCAGACCAGCTGGAAAGTGGCTGCTGAGGGCTGTGGTGACCCAGGAGACAGCCTTGATCCAACAGTTTCCTGCTGAGCAATCTGACAGCATTCTGTATGGAAAGGGTGCAGAGATTACTTGCTTGCAAAAATTCCAGACTTTTCTTGCCTGGTCTGTAAACCAAACCAAAGAGCTAAAATTTGTGATTTCACTGGAACACCTGGTTCTCTTAAGACCAGGAGTCCTGGTGTCTGGCCCCAAGTGTGTGCAGCTGGGAGAAGAAGTGCATTCTGCAGTCTTGTACTGCTCAGCAATTCTGCATCAGAGTTGAAATGAGTCGTGAACCATTCTCCAGCTGGATCTGTGGCCAGCAGGTTGCTGAGTTTCTGTGTATTAGCATTTGAACTGCCATGTAAAGTCTTGAGCTTCTGATTCAATCAGGCAAGCCTTGTTTGCTCTAAAAAATGTCTCATTCTGCTTAAATTTGTCCTCTTGGCCCATGAAGTGACTGTTTCCAGAAAACAGACTGTAACCTTCTGACTTTCAGGTAGCATGTTGTCCTGGCTTCATGTGCCCAGTGAAATTTGGAAGGGAGACACCAGCAGCATTTGCAGTAAAATAAACCCTGTGAACTCCAAAACAGTAAAAATTTACTTCAGCAATCAAACTCTGCTTACTTGAACTCTTAAGACCTGGGGTGACAGAGCTCACTGCCTAACTAAAGCAACAAGTTTTCATTGTCAGTATTTCAGCACAACATTAAAATAACCCCTCTTTGGAGCACAGCAGTTCAGATCCACTTTCAGATAGTCTAAGAAAAGTCCTGCAGCTGAGCAGTAACGTGATATGGATGCAGAGCACGTCTTTCAAAAAATGTGTGATGACTGAGGGTCCTAAGTTCCATTTTCAAATCTGTTAAAATTCTCTCCCTATTTTAAGGCCTGGAAAGAGCAATCCCTCATTCAAGCACAGAAGGATGGACTAAAATTGCTCACCTTGCCTGTGAAGATCCAAGCTGATGGTGGACAGTGGAGAAGGGAGATTTCCAGGTGACAAACCTGCCTGTTGTGGCAGGGCAGGTGTTGCAGACTCTGGACAAGTTGCATGGAAATCTGTCAGCCCAACTATCACCCTGGAGTCCCATCTGGTCATCTTTAGGTTTATGGGGTTGGCTGACCAGTGTGGAGAGATTTGTAGCACTGTTATGAATTAAATATTGATCACAATCTGAAAACAGCATAAAAAAATAACAGAGCAAGGGTTGCAGAGCTGTATTGACAACAAAGACCCCAAAAACTGTAGCACTGGTAACACTGAATTGGGTGTTGTTCCCTTGATCCCAACAACATCAGGGAACACTGATGTTGTTGGCTTCAAGGCTGATTTGGATAGGACCACAGAAGAGATGATTAATCAGCAGAAGAACTGAGCTCTGGTAGCAGGAGGCTGACAGGAAGGGTTGTAGCACACTGTATTTACTATTTCTCTTCCCACTACCCAACAGAGAGGCAGATTTATTGTCACACTGATCCCCAAAATGAATAAGCGGGATAACAGACAGCAACCTTGCCTAAGAGCCTTGGCAGCTGATGAGCTCTTGGAGGCTGAAGCAAGCAAACTTCTGACCCAAAACTATCCCCTCATTGCAGCTGCTGACTCCCAAAGCATGTACAAGACCTGCTCAAACATGATTTGTCATCACCAGTCATGAGGAAAGCAAGATATTAACAGGGGACCTCCACTTTGTCACAGACACAGAGGTCCTGGTGAGGACACTCAAACACACCTGGGCAGGAGAGTGTGCAAATTTAACAACTTAGAGTCATCTCAAATAATTATCTTCCCATTTCTCTGCAGGGAAATCTCTCACTGAAATTTCACATGCCAATTTCTTACAGGCAAGCCCAAATCACAAACCAGCTTCCTGCTGTTTTCTTTTTGGAGGGAAATGGGAAAAATTATCTACTCCCACAAGAAACTCTGGAGGATTTAGGACTATGTGGATGCTAGCTTGCTTGGAAAAAGATCTTGGTTTATTCATGCTGAATTAATTCTCTGCAGAGGGTATGTCAAGCACAGGGACAGTCAGGTATGCCCATCTTTGTTCTCCTGAGCTGGCCAGGTGTCCCTCTCCATGTCCCACAGAAATGGGAATGGCTGTGAGAAAAGAGAGCAGTGACTCCACAGCAGACCTGTGGCTTCCCACCTGATGCTGTGCCCACCAGCCCACACTGCTTCTCTCATCACCTCTCAGCTGTTCCCCCTCCACAAGGACAGGCAGCCCAAGGGTAAAAGGCCAAGCTGAAGAAAACAGAAATGACAGCCACCACCCCCACAGGGATCAGCCTGGAGTTATTTATTAGAAGAGATGAATGACAAGAGACATAGTTAATTTGGTTTGTTTGCTTCGTGCACAGTTTGCTCATTGCAGCAGGAACAGGGACACTGCAGGAACAGGGATGATAAATGCCACATTTAAGTTACATTTTGAATAGGAAAGCAAAAAACCCCTTGGTTTTTATTGTTGTTGGTGATGAGAT